ACGCGGGCCTCTCACTGCTGTGGCCTCTCCCGTTGCGGAGCACAGGCTCCGGATGCACAGGCTCAGTGGCCATGGCTCATGGGCCCAGCCGCTCCGCGGCATGTGGGACCTTCCCGGACCGGGGCACGAACCCGCGTCCTCTGCATCGGCAGGCGGACTCTCAACCACTGCGCCACCAGGGAAGCCCCCTACTTAATGTTTTAAAAAGATGTCATTGGCTGGCATGTGGCACTCTCCCAGGACAGCACAGCAGGTAGCAGGGGGTGAGGGGGAAGGAGCGGTTTTGAGGAGCGTGGAAATCAAGACCACGTCCTAGGCTTCCATCATTTTTGTTTTTCTTAACGTGTAACGTGGGCAAAATTGTTTAAAGTCGGTACGTTTTTATTTATGGAAGTTCACATGCTATGATTCCTTCTGCCCATCACCTTAGTTCCTCCAAAGTCTGAGTCGTAATCTTCAAGGTGGCCCTTTAGAAAGAACGCCTGCTTGATCCACGCGTGTCCTGTTGGCCAGTCCACTGTTCTGCACCTGGGCTTCTTTGAAGGCCTGTCACTTAAGTGCTCTGACAGTGACGTCGTAGCCAGGCGTCCTGCTCTCCTGCCAAGCCGCCTCCTTCAGGCCCCTCAGCACCCCTGCTTCCTGCTAGAGCCCTCAGGTGCCCCGAGCCCTCTCGATTCCTGCTCTTCCGGCCCCTCTGACCTCTTATTTTCTCTCTCCACTTTGCTCCCCAAGGGGATCATTTATGTACCTAGACCCTTTTCTTCCCCCCGACGTACCAAGAAAACCCCAGCCTGAGATCGGTGCTACAATACTGACAGTCTCCTGGTCCCGGGCTGAGCACAGCTGGTCACAAACCGGCCACCCTGCAGATTGGGCCGCTATAAATTTGTCCTCACCAGCCTCAGATGGGGTCCTGGGGTCCCACCCCCTTTTGCTTGTGAGGTTTGATCCCGCTCCTGTTCTCCCCGGCAGCTCCCCCAAACCTCCGTAGGTCTTCTTAGCCTTCCTCTTCACCCCTGGCCACCTTAAGCTCAGCAGACTCCCCTAAAGGCCTTCAAGAAGGCGAGAGGGAAGGAAAGTCAGCCTGACATTTGTGCAGTGTGTAAAGTCGCCGGCAGGTCACTGGCGACTTCAGGGCCAGGGTGGGGCAGGCGAGGAGCGGGAGGGGGCCCACGGCAGAGGATTGAGCGAGTGGTCGGGAGAGTGAGTGACGGGGCGTAGACCGCTCCCCAGAGAAGAAGGTTTGGGGTTTTGTTTCTTTGTTTGTTTTGGCCTCATCATGTGGCATGTAGGATTTTAGTTCCCCAGCCAGGGATCGAACCTGCCCCCTGCAGTGGAAGTGCGGAGTCTTAACCACTGGACCACCAGGGAATTCCCTGGGTTTTATTTTTTTAAGACTGGCCAAGGCTTCCTAACTCCCTCCTCTTTTTATCTGGGTAATCTCTGTGTGCTACTGGTTTTATCTTCTAAATGTTTCCCCCAAAGCCCTTTTCCCATCCCTAGCCACAATGCTCTGGTTCAGGCCCTCATCTCTCACCTGGTCTGCTGTCACCTCCTAACTAGTGACACTTTTCTGTGCTCTCTTCAACCCTCAGTTTCATCTTTATAGTGCAGGTCACTTCCCAGCTCCGCGTTGCTCTGAGCCACACCATGAACCCCCAGAACCGTTTCCTTGCGCGTGCGGGTCTTGCACACATCAGCAGTCTCGGCTACTTGTCGCTGCTCCAGTGGCCTAAACTGACTTTCACCCCGTGGATTTGCTCAGAGTACCTTCTTCTCCCCTCATCGGCCCCCTGTATCCTGCCTGACCCGGAGAACCAAACTCAGCTCACTCCTTCTCGACCTCACCCCTGCTTTGTTAGCTGTCCTCTTCCTCTGCGTTGTGTCACAGTGCGCATGCTGGTGGTGGGTCTGTCCCCACCATGAGCTGTGAGCTCCCTGGGAGGGGGGGCCATGTGAAGTCATCTTTGGCTCCCAGAGCCTGACGTGGAGTTTGGTAGAGTCTAAGTTACCAACTGCTGAATTATGGAACGGCATAAAGGAACGATACTTAAATTGTAGTTTATACCATTTGTGCATTACTGGGTTTTGGTAATGTGTGTGTTGTGTGCTTTATTCATAGGACAAAAGATCTCAATTTTTAATGAACATAAAAGTTATGTACAAGGAGTAACCTGGGATCCCTTGGGTCAATATGTTGCTACCCTGAGCTGTGACAGGTAAGTTAGTATTTGGCAAGTTGTTTTCACCTCTGTTTGCTTGAAGATTTCTTCAGAGGTATTTTTATTACAGCTTAACCAATGTAAACCACAGTCTGGCTTTGATTCTTTCATTCTTGGTTTCATATAAAGCATTTTGTTTTACTGCTATTCTTACAGCATAATAAGAAATTGGCAACTAATTAGGACAAGAGCCTTACACGAAGTTAGTACTTAATAAATCTTTATTGAGTGGGTGAGTGAATGCAGAAATAGCTTTGAATTAAATTTAAACTTCTTGGGCAACTTTATAAAAAGGCTTTTATAAATATGACTTAAGCAAGAGGACATAACTAGTGGTAGGGTTGGATAGTTATTTCATTTTTTTGATTAGAGTTTACTGCTATAGTGATTTTAACAACTCCATTTAAATTATTATGAAAATAAGGTATTTTGTCTTCTCTGAAAGAAGGTCTTGTTGCTGTGTTTACTGGTACATTTAAACACAATATATATTTTTTTAATTAATTAATTTTATTTTTGGCTGCGTTGGGTCTCCATTGTTGCACTTGGGCTTTCTCTAGCTGCAGCTAGCGGGGGCTACTCTTCGTTGCGGTGCGTGGGCTTCTCACTGTGGTGACTTCTCTTGTCGCGGAGCACGGGCTCTAGGCGCGCGGGCTTCAGTAGTTGTGGCACGCGGGCTCAGTAGTTGTGGTGCATGGGCTTAGTTGCTCTGCAGCATGTGAGATCTTCCCGGACCAGGGCTTGAACCCGTGTCCTCTGCATTGGCAGGCGGATTCTTAACCACTGCACCACCAGGGAAGCCCTAAACACAATAATTTAATTGTGTTCCTGGAACAAAAAATTAAAAAAAAACAAACCCAGAGGTGCCAAGCATATCACTCACCAGTCATAATAGTCCTTTATAATATTTATCCAACGACTTTTAACTGTAACAAACTGAATTTCAAATGGCCCTGGAATGAAAGCACTAAGGAAGTGTTTATTTTTCATAGAATCTCCTGTAACATTCCAAATGTCATTTATTTTCTGGTATACGTGGTTTTTTTTGTTTTTTGTTTTTTTGTGTGGCCATGCCAAGTGGCTTGTGGGATCTTAGTTCCTTGACCAGGGATGGAACCTGTGCCCCCTGCAGTGGTAATCACAGAGTCCTAACCACTGGACTGCCAGGGAAGCCCCGTGGTATATGTGTTTTATTCAGGCAGTCAGGAGTGAAACAATTTGATTAGCTCAGGGAATAATACGAACTACCAACAACCAATTTACTTGCTGCTCTTTTCCTTACTCTTGCAAATCCCTGAGGGCGAGACCGTTCCACTCAAAATAAACTTCACTGCAGTCATACAGATGGCCACTGAGCCAGATGCCCAAGACCTGAAAAGTAAGGCCAGGCTTACAAGTTTATGTCCATTGACAAGTTGAAACATTCAATAAAGAATGAAATTATGACGTATTTCCCCACTTAGTGATATCCTTTTCGTTGTTAATATTTGCCTCTGTCATTCAGTTAAGTGTGAAAGTCATTGGTCAGTGGTTTTGCAGGCCAAAAGTTGTTGAAGCAATCTTCAGTGCTGGTAATAGATTGTTTCTCTGTGAAACATAATTCGTTTACTAGAAGAGATAAATCAGACTTTTCTTCTTTATTTAGGATCCTGAGGGTGTACAGCACACTGAAGAAACGTGTGGCTTTTAATGTCTCAAAGATGCTATCTGGAGTAGGGGCTGAAGGAGAGGTACAAAATGTTTTGACATTCCATCTTAGCCGTACTGTAGTTGGGACTTAGGAAGTCGTGAACTCCTCCATCGCTCGTAGCTAAACACCTGGTTTCCAGGACCCGACACCTGAACTGCAATATGACTTCCTCTTAGACCACCAAGTCTCAGTGTGGTGGTCTGGGCTGGCCTGTACAGAGGTGGGGACGTCTGGGGGCCAGGGGAGAGGTGATGGTGGAGGACAGTGTTTCCAACCCTGGCTGAACTATGGAGTCACCTGGGAAGCATGTAAAAATGTGGGTGCCTGGGCCCGACCCCAAGAGCTGTGATTCACTTGGCTTGAGGCAGGCAGGGCCCCCGCGGTCTGAGGTGCAGTGAGGTTCAGGAACCACTGACTAGGAAGACCACAGCACTAGGCAACAGGAAGGCAGGTGGATCCAGCAGCGGCGATACACCTTCTTGGCAGTTGGAGGGGGACTCTCTGGCCATCGGCCTGGTACTCAGGAATGGAAAGGATTTTGATTTTTGAGAGAACTGGTAAATGAAGATAGCACTCTAATCCTAGTAGGTGAAAGGGAGCAAGTTGGTTACTATAACAAAGCAGATAAACAACAAGGTCCTACTCTGTAGCACAGGGTACTGTATACAATATCTCGTGATAAGCCAGAAGGGAAAAGAATATGGAGAGGAAGGTATGCGTGTATAACGGAGTCACTTTGCTGTGCAGTAGAAGTTAACACAGCGTTTGTAAATCAACTATACTTCAGTAAAGTTAAAAACAAACAAACAGCAGCAGCAAAAACCAAAGCAGAGGTGAGGTGCAGATCCAGTCCTGGGACAGCACGTAAGGCAGAGTGGGCTGTGTGAGCTGGCCGGCGCTGAGAGGTCACATGTGTAGTTGGGAGAGTCCTGCCTGGTTGAGGATTAAATGCTTAGTGTTCATAAAGTGTAAGTGCATGGTAGCAAAAACTGTTCCACACAGGTGTTCAAGAAATGTTGTTTGAAAAGATGATAGGATTACTATTTTCTTTTTAAAAAGGGTTCATTCGGTTGGAGATTCTAAATATAAACACACAGATAACAAGCAAAGGGCTCCTAGTCACCTTCCTGCCTCTTCCCGCTCTCATTCCCCAGACAGACCACTGTTGAGAGCGTGGTGTGTGCTCTTACAGAGGGTTATTTGTATAATAATTATAGAAACACACACACACACACACACACACACACACACACACACACACACACCTTTCCTTACCAAAAATGGGAGATCAGTTCACGAGTGATTGCCCTTGCAGACTTGCGTGATTATTTGATATGTAATTTATTTCAGTTTCATTTATTATTATGTCAGTAAGAAATGACAACATGCAGAGAAAAAATAGGAATTGGTAAGCCTTTATTGTGAATGCAAAGGTTTGGAATAACGTTTAGACTCTGTGTGCCGCAGGCGAGAAGTTACCGGATGTTCCATGACGACAGCATGAAATCATTCTTTCGTAGACTTAGTTTCACTCCTGATGGATCTTTGCTCCTCACACCAGGTATGTTTAACAAAGCTTTTGATTTAAGGGCATGAGAGCAGCGGTGGTGGTGTCTGTGCTCCTGATTTTGTGATGCTCTTTACAGCTCAGGGGATTCTGATGAAAGCAGTGGTCCCCAACTTGTCCACACATTGAAACCTCCAGGGAGCTTCAAAAAGTGCTGGTACCTGGGTCCCACTCCCAGAGATTGTGTTTTAATTGGTTTGGAGTGTGTGGTCTGGGTTTTGGAATTTTAAAAAGATTTCCAGTGATTTTAATGTACAGACAAGTTTGGGAGCCACTAGACTAGAGTGATAAACATACTCCCTTAGGCAAATTCAACTTTAAAAAAATTTTAATGAGTGCCTTTTCCCTGGACGTGTATATGGAGGTCATCATTCTAAAACTAATGATAAAGTGCCTTTATCATTTTTATTCTCAATAATGAAGCAGCCTGTTGTGACAGGGTCTAGGCAGAGACGAGTCTGGTTGGAATAACGTGTGGGAGTGTAGTGGTCAAGGCTGACGGGTCAGCAGAATCAGCAAGGACACGTCAGGGTCGTTGTCAGCAGGGGGGGTGAGAGGTTGAGTCCAGCAGGATTATCCAGGGTAGTGCTGTTGCCAGCATGGTCTCAGAGGAGACCGTCCCCTGCTCTCCATGGCGCAGATACCATCCTGTGTATGATACGATGACATGACCCGGGGCTGGGCCAAACGGGAGGGCACAGGTCAGGTTTGCCACTAAGTGTCCCAGCCAGGCTGGGCAGAGGAGACCCCAAGAGTGTGTGAATCAAACACACATGTGTGGGTTAGGCTGTAAAAGAACATTGGGGAACACGTGGGAATGACATTGGCCTAGGTGGGGGGTCCCAGGACCAAGAATAAGTAGTTGCTTAAGTATATTGAAAGTTGTTTACTAAACTCAGTAGCAGGTCCTTTTCTAAATGGCAGCTCCAAAAATATTTTCATTTAAAATCGGGTACCAGATGGGTATCTGCTGCCACCATTATTATTCTTGGTGGTGCTAATAAATGCAGAAAATGAAATTACAGAGACTGGAAGAGATAAAACTTTGTGATAGGATTGTGTTTCTAGAAAATCCAAGAGATTTAAAAAATACTCTCAGAGTAAAAAAAACAATTTGATAAGGTGGCTATAGATATTATAAAATACATAAAATCTGTATCTGCTGCAGTAGAATGAGTACTTAGAAATGTGAAAAGGATAATTGTTCCATTCGCAACAGTGCAAAACCCAGAAGACCTGGAAACGCACAGGAAAAAATTTAATAAGGCATAGAGCCTTTAGGAAGAAGACTAGAAGGTCTCATTGATGGTTCTAAAACAAGTTCTGAACAAAGAGAGAGATTTCGTGTTCTAAAAATTAACATGATAATTGATTTCCAATTAGGATCCCATTTAAGGTTTTTTTTGTTGTTGGTTTGTTTCGGTGTTTTGGTTTTTTAATTGGATGACATCTCAGATTTGTTTAGGAGAGTAAATGCAAGGAATAGTAAAAAAGTATGAAAGATAAGAATAATACTTGAGCAGGCATTTGCCTGTCTAAATGTCAGAGATTCTGTAGTGCTATTGTGATCAAATCAGTATGGTATTGGTATAGGAATAAACATATAGCTTAGTGGATCAGAACAGAGAATCCAGAAATAGATTCTGGGATAAAAGGGAATTTAATAGGTGACCTGAGTGGTATTTCAGTGGGAAGAATGGATTATTGAGTGAATGGTTCTGGAGTGTCCAGCTGTCTGGAAAAAAATTAAATTGGACTCTTAGCTTATATATAAACTGCAGGTGGGCTTCCTTGGTGGCGCAGTGGTTAAGAATCCACCTGCCAACGCAGGGGACACGGGTTTGAGCCCTGGTCTGGGAAGATCCCACATGCCGCGGACCAACTAAGCCCGTGCACCACAACTACTGAAGCCCACACACCTAGAGCCCATGCTCCACAACAAGAGAAGCCACTGCAATAAGAAGCCCGCGCACCACAGTGAAGAGTAGCCCCCGCTCGCCACAACTAGAGAAAGCCCGCGCGCAGGAACAAAGACCCAGTGCAGCCAAAAATAAATAAAATAAACTGCAGGTGAATTCAATACTTAAAAATGGTAAAAATGTAAAACTCTTGCAAGAAAATCTAGGAGGACATTCTAGGACTGGGGAAGACCAAACTAAGACTCGAAACCCAGAAGCTCTTAAATGATAGACCTACTTTGTTGTATTTGAATGTAGAGCTTTTGTATGGCAAAAGACGCAGTAAGCAAAATCAGTAGTCGTATGATGGGACTGGAAAATAATGGTTATGGTACAGAAAAGAGAGCGCTGACAGACATCATATACAATGGCTCTTCCAAATTGGCAAGAAGAACAAAAAGACAAAAGGAGAAAAACCCAAAAGAGAAAAACGAGAGAAAGGTACAAAAAGGCGGCTCATAGAAGAGCAAATCTGTGTGCAAAATTGGCACACACAGGGAGGTGTTCGGAAACCTGACAGTCAAGGCAACGCAAGTTAATGTGACATCAGTAGGTATCCCTTTATTCATTTCAGGCTGGAAAAAAGTGAAAACATCTGTCGCTGATGGGCATGTGTATGGCTGTTGCTGGAGAGAGTGTGGATTGTTAGAGCCTTTTGGGAAGGCAGTCTGGTAACCGTTTAATGCACGTACTCTTCAGCCAATCCGCCCCTTGTCTGACATTCACTTCCTTAAGAAATGAAAACAGTACATAAGAGTGTATGTCCAAGGATGTTTATTGCAAGCATAGCTTTTTTTTTTTTAATGACACTTTCTTTTTTTTAAAATGAATTATTTTATTTATTTATTTTTGGCTGTGTTGGGTCTTCGTTGCTGCGCACAGGCTTTCTCTAGCTGTGGCGAGCAGGGGCTACTCTTCGCTGTGGTGTGTGGCCTCTCCTGTTGCGGAGCACGAGCTCTAGGTGCGCAGGCTTCAGTAGTTGTGGCGCATGGGCTCAGCAGCTGTGGCTCGTGGGCTCTAGAGTGTAGGCTAAGTAGTTGTGGCACGTGGGCTTAGTTGCTCCGCAGCATGTGGGATCTTCCTGGACCAGGGCTCAAACCCGTGTCCCCTGCACTGGCAGGCAGATTCCTAACCGCTGCGCCACCAGGGAAGTCCAAGCATGGCTCTTAGTTGTAAAAAAACAAAAACAAAACAGTACTCGTTAACAGAGAATGGGTGAATAAATTACGGTATTTTCAGACCAGTGCATAGTAGGTAGCTACTGAAGAAACAATGCATTAGTGTCACGCAGGTTAACTGTCATGAGTAATTGACTGAGAAAAGCAAAATGAGCAAAAGTATAAATAATACCCCATTTTGTAAAATAGATTTAAAAAACCCACCATATGAATATACAAGCGATTGAGTTATAACTGGTTGGAACAATTGTGTGAGCATGGGGGAAATATAGAATGACCTGATGGTTTGTTAAAATGGATTACTTGGGGATGGAAGGATGGGGTGAGATGGGAAGAGAGTAGAAAGACTACTGGCTGTGTCTGCTGCCCTCCCCCAGCGGGTATGAAATGGTCACATGGAAGATTATGTGTGTGTGTGTGTGTGTGTGTGTGTCAGGAAACGTTAACGTAAAACAGGGAGATGTTCCCAAGAGCAACTGTGTGTGACAGTCGTTCTCCAACAGGATCTGACCTGGTTTTGAGTACAGCCTGAGGTGAGTGTAGAAGGGCTCTCAGATGTGGGCTGCTCCCCAGGGCAAAGGCAGCTTCTGCAGGGGCTGGAGATGTCAGCAGAGGGCTGGTCTCCTGGTAGCCTTTGGGCTCCATCAGGCTGATGGGAAAAGGCCTGAGTCTCAGGTTTTGGGTGGCAACTGAGGTCAGAATCCAGGGGACAGAGAGCCGGGGGTCTGATCATAGCACTTCACTAGCAGGAATTGGCTGGATTCCCAGGCAGAGGTCTGATGTGGTCAGGGCTCCCTGCTTTATGTTCTTCCCACCCAGGCCTGGAAGGGGCTCTGGGGCAGCTGAGCCCCTTGGGGAGGTGGCAGGTGGGTAGAACTGGAGTAAAGGGCTGAGCCCAGGCAGGGACAGGGTGTTTGCATTTGTCCTCAGTCACAGAAACACTGTCCAGGTAATAACGTTCCGGGGAAAATCGTTCACAAACCAGAACTGATGCTCTTGCGTCTTTGCTGATGAACAGTTTAATAACACGTGGCCTTGCCTTCCTCTACTGCTTCCCCAGCTGGATGTGTGGAATCGGGTGAAAACGTAACAAATACAACTTATGTTTTCTCCAGGAAAAATCTTAAAAGGTATGCAACTGAAGAAATATTTGAAATGTTTACCCTTTCTTTTTGCTTTTGTTGAGTGACGGTGCTTTTTTGCAAAATCGCGATTCACCTTGCAGGCCTATCGCCCATCTTCCGTGTCCTGGGAAGGCGACGCTTGCTGTCCGCTGCTGCCCCGTCTACTTTGAGCTGAGGCCAGTGGTGGAAGCAGGTACCTTAGAGCCACAGGGGTGTGTTACGTTCTCTGAGGCAGGTCACCAGGGTGGGTGGGGAGAGGTGAGTATGTGGGTTGGTTCAGTTTGGTCAGTCTTGAGAGCAAAGACTGATGTTATCAAAATACGTGTCAGATTTTGCGTTGTCCAGAATACACTTTCTGTGCTGCAAGCAACTTTAAAGGACTAAAAATACTAGCTTTGTTTCTCTACTGAAGCAGGTTGAATGTCATTTATTATTGATTTCCTATGCAGTGAAAATTATGGAAAAATTATATGAATTGGATTTTTGTTTCACTGTTTTTCCACCTCTGGCTGCTTTGAAGATTTTTCTCTTTATCAGTTGGCTTTCAGCAATCTGATTACATTGTGCCTGCTGCCGTTTTCTTTCTGTTTCTTGTGCTTGGGGTTCATTGAACTTCTTAGATTTACGAGTTTATAGTTTTCATCAAATTTGGAGAACTTCGCCAGTTATTTCTTCAGATACTTTTTCTGTCATCCCCCCTCTCTCTCCTCTTCTTCAGGGGCTCCAGCTACACATGTATTAGACTGTTTGAAGTTACCCATGGCTTACTGATGCTCTGTTACTTGTTTCTTTCCTCTCTGTGGATAGTTTCTACAGCTTGTTTTGAGTTCACTACTCTTCCGTGTCACCTGCCCTTGGTGCCATCCAGTGTATTTTCTGTCTGTGACGGTGTAGTCTAGAACTTCTAGAGTTCAACTTGGGTCTTCCTCATGTATCTCTGCTTTACACCTTCCCTCTTGCATCTTGAACACGTGGAATACACTTGTTACAATAACTCTTTTAATGGCTTTGTGTACAAAGGATTGGTTTTGATTGATTTTTTCTTCCTCATTATGGGTCATATTTTTCTGCTTCTTGGAATGCCTGATAATTTTTAAAAAATTAATTAATTTATTTTTGGCTGCATTGGGTCTTCATTGCTGCGCGCGGGCTTTCTCTAGTTGCGTCGAGTGGGGGCTACTCTTCGTTGCTGTTCGCGGGCTTCTCATTGCGGTGGCTTCTCTTTTTGCGGAGCATGGGGTCTAGGCGCGTGGGTTTCAGTAGTTGTGGCTCGTGGGCTCTAGAGCGCAGGCTCAGTAGCTGTGGTGCACGGGCTTAGTTGCTCCACGGCATGTGGAATCTTCCTGGAACAGGGATCGAGCCTGTGTCCCCTGCATTGGCAGGCGGATTCCTAAGCACTGCGCCACCAGGGAAGTCCATCTGATAATTTTTTATTAGACATTGTGGATTTTACCTTAGTGGATGCCGGATATATTTTCATCCTTGTAAATATCCTTGAGCTTTATTCTGGGATGCATTGAGGTTGCTTGGAAACACTTTGCGTCTTAGGGGTCTTGCTGTTAGGCTTTGTCAGGTGCGATCACAGGGGCATTTAGTCTAGGGCTAATCTCTTCACTACGGAGGCAGAGCCGCCTGGATGCTCTAATTGATGCCCATGAAGTGGGCGGTTTTCCACTCTGGCTGGTGGGAACACGTGCTGTTTCTAGCCTTGTGTGAGCTTCAGGGGTGGCTCTTTTTTAAAAAAAAATTAATTAACTAATTAATTTTATTGAAGTATAGTTCATTTACAGTGTCATGTTAATTACTGCTATACAGCAAAGTGAATCAGTTATACATATATACGTTCTTTTTTAATATTCTTTTCTGTTATGGTTTATCACAGGATATTGAACATAGTTCTCTGTGCTATACGTAGGACCTTGTTGTTTATCCATTCTATATATAAAAGCTTACACCTGCTAACTCCAGCCTCCCACTCCATCCCTTCCCGACCCCCTCCCCCTTGGGAACCACCAGTCTGTTCTCTATGTCCGTGATTCTGTATCTGTTTCACTGATAGGTTCATTTGTGTCATATTTTAGATTCCACATATAAGTGATATCATATGGTATTTGTCTTTCTCTTTCTGACTTCACTTAGTGTGATAATCTCTAGTTGCATCCATGTTGCTGCAAATGGCATTATTTTGTTCTTTTTTATGGTTGAGTAGTATTCCATTGTGTGTGTGTGTGTGTGTGTGTGTGTGTGTGTGTGTGTGGGGCACATCTTCTTTATCCATTCATCTGTCAGTGGACATGTAGATTGTTTCCATGTCTTGGCTATTGTGAATAGTGCTGCTATGAACATAGGGGTGCATGCATCTTTTTGAATTAGAGTTTTGTCCAGATATATGCCCAGGAGTGGGATTGCTGGATCATACGGTAGTTCTATTTGTAGTTTTTTGAGGAACCTCCATACTGTTTTCCGTAGTGGCTGTACCAACTTACATTCCCACCAACAGTGTAGGAGGGTTCTCTTTTCTCCATACCCTCTCCAGCATTTATTGTTTGTAGATTTTTTGATGATGGCCATTCTGACTGGTGTGAGGTGGTACCTCATTGTAGTGTTGATTTGCATTTCTCTAATAATGAGCGATGTTGAGCATCTTTTCATGTGCCTGTTGGCCATTTGTATGTCTTCTCTGGAGAAATGTCTATTAGGTCTTCTGCCCATTTTTGGATAGGGTTGGTTGTTTTTTTTGTTGTTGAGTTGTTATGAGCTGTTTATATATTTTGGAAATTAATCCCTTGTTGGTCACATCATTTACAAATATTTTCTCCCATATAGATAGTCTTTTCATTTTGCTACGGTTACCTCAGGGATGGCTCTCTCTTTCCCGTGGCCCTCGCTCCGGCCCTGGCTAGTTTTCCCACGTGTGGCACTGGTCAGCACTCGGCTGAAGGCTCAAGGCCCCTGGGGCTCTGGTGGCTCCGCCCCTCCACCCGCATGCTCCAGTCGCCTGGGCCTCCTGGCCTCCCAGCTCAGGGCGTCTGCCAGGCGCCGCCTGCGTTCCCTCCACCTCTGCTGGGCCTGGAAACTCCAGGCAGTAAACGGAGGTGATTGTAGGGCTCACCTCTCTCACTTCCTGTCTCTGAGGGATTGCTGTTCTTTATGGCCTAATGGACAGTGTCTTAAAAAAAACCTGTTTCAGCATTTTGCCTGGTATTTTAATTGTTTCAGGTGAAGGGTCAGTCAGGTCTCTGTTACTCCGTGGCCGGACGCAGAAGCTGTTTTTAAGTTTCTAATCCTTCATGTGAATGACTAGGATTAACTTGACAGCATTAAAACATCACTTCATGAGACGCTTCTACGTGACCCTGATGTGTCCTTATCAGGCGGTGACCCCTCAGGGTGACTTGCCTCATTCACACAACTTTTTCTTCTCTTCTTTTTTTTTAAATTTTATTTTATTTTATTTTTTTGCACTACGCGGGCCTCTCACTGCTGTAGCCTCTCCCGTTGCGGAGCACAGGCTCCAGACGCACAGGCTCAGCGGCCATGGCTCATGGGCCCAGCTGCTCTGCGGCACGTGGGATCTTCCCAGACCGGGGCACGAACCCGTGTCCCCTGCATCGGCAGGCGGACTCCCAACCACTGCGCCACCAGGGAAGCCCTCTTCTCTTCTTTTTGAACCGCAGGTGCCCATGAGTGTTGAATCATAACACAGTGTCCTCATTGGTTCCTGCATGGGTCTCCTTGATTCTTATATTCCTATATAAAATAATACAAAAACTGAATTCTTCCGTAAAGCATTTAGTAAAGTTACATCACTTACGTCCCTGGGGAGAGGGCTTTTGGGGAAAATTTGTTTTCTTTGGGAACTTTGCTTTTGCTTCTTTGACTTTCTGTTCCTGATTTCACCCGTCACCAGAGCCAGGTGTGGAGCTGGTGAGCCTGCCCTACCGCTTGGTGTTTGCTGTGGCTTCTGAAGACTCTGTGCTTTTGTACGACACCCAGCAGCTGTTCCCGTTTGGTTACGTGTCTAACATACATTACCACACCCTGAGTGATATTTCCTGGTGAGTGGATGCGGGGGACAGCGTACATTCCCCTGGAGTTGCCCCTCGGGTCAGGGAGCATTTCATCCTACAGTTGGCTTCTTTGGCCCTTATTTACCAGTTTTTTTTAAAGGAATCAACGTAAAAAGGAAAGCTGTTTCTAACTTGATAAAGTACTGCTTCCTGTTGTGACTGCAGTGGGTGTTGATGCTGTGCAGACTGTGTGTGGTTCATCTAATTCTCATAAACCAAGGGGAGGCCCGGGGTCCCTGGTGTTGTGGGGACTCGCCAGGCCCTCCAGGAGGAAGCCCACACATGCGGGCCCCTGCTGCATAGACAAGGAGGGGCCCCAGAACTGTGCCCATCCTGAGGGGTCACTTTGCCCTCGCCTTTCTGCCTGGGGTTCTCGGCACCCCTGGGCTTCCAGTTTTGTCTCCACTGTGTGCTTGGGCCCAGGCTGGGCCTGGCCACCTACCATCTAGTTCTTGCTCTTTATCACTCTTTATCTTCTTTTCATCTTCTTTTTATTTCTTTATTTATTAAAATTTTTTTTTTTTGCGGTACGTGGGCCTCTCACTGTTGTGGCCTCTCCCGCCGTGGAGCACAGGCTCCAGATGCGCAGGCCCAGCAGCCATGGCCCACAGGCCCAGCCACTCCGCGGCATGTGGGATCTTCCCGGACCAGGGCACGAACCCGCGTCCCCTGCGTCAGCAGGCGGACTCTCAACCACTGCGCCACCAGGGAAGCCCTCATCTTCTTTTTATCTTGGAGGAAATAGAAAAGAAAAGAAAAAAAGGTCATCTCACCTTTATTCCAGTGAATTTGATGATGAAGCAGGGGTGGGTTGGGAGAGAAAGGGCGTGAGGGAGGAGCCCGCACAGATCCTTTCTCAGCCGTGTTTTTCCCTTGACAGCTTTGCCTTCAGACAAATCTTGTGAGTTTGCTTGAACTTCCATTTCCTAACCAGTGATGAGGGCTCTAAGAGTGGCCTGTAGACTTCGGTAAAGTTTCTCGCTTTCTCTTCTGTTTCGGGAATGCAGGTCCAGCGACGGGGCCTTCCTGGCCATCTCTTCCACGGATGGTTACTGTTCCTTCGTGACATTCGAGAAGGATGAGCTCGGAATTCGCTTGAAAGAGAAGCCAGTTGTGTGTGTGAGAACTCCCGATACAGCGAAGAAAACCAAGAGTCAGACACACCCAGGGTCTTCGCCAGGACCCAGGCTGGGAGAGGGAACCCCCAGCAGCAGAGTCCGGGACCCCAGCAGCCCCTCTGCAACGCCCCCTCAGGCAAAACAGTCTCCGGCCTCCACGGCAGCCAAGGACACCCCTGTGACTGCTCCCGGTGCCAGAGGCTTCCTGGCAGGGCCCTCAGAGGAGAAGACCCTGCAGCCCGGCAGTCAGAATGCAAAAGCCCACCCATCCCGGAGGGTCACTCTGAACACGCTGCAGGCCTGGAGCAAGTCAACACCCCGGTGAGAGCTGTGATGGGAGCAGAAACAGCCTTGCCTTGTCAAAAGACAGGATAAGCCGAAAGCCCCTCTAATAGGTGAAATCCCACACAGCTGCCAGAGAGATGTTTCCTAACATCAGACCTGAGAGTGCCGCTTCCTTGCTTACAGACCTCTGTTGGTTCCACTTCCCCCCCGTCGGGTGAGGTCCCGGCTCTTCGCCCGGCCCGTCACCGGCTCTGTGGCAGCCTGCCATCCAGCACAGTGACCCCTCACTCTCCATCGTCCCGCGTGCCTTACCCTCCAGTCTGATGACTCTGAATGTCAGGTCCCCAGGGCATGCTCTGCCTTTGGAGGCCTCTGTGCCTCCACCCTCTGGGGACGCCCTGGACACCTGCTCTGCTGGGTGACATTAGAGTCCTCCCAGAAGACTCATTTGGATGTCCCTTCAGCCCTTTTCTGTGTCACAACACGTCGCATTCGATAGCAGGTGTTTGATTTATGCTTCTGTTTCCCTAGTTAGAGTACAGGCCCCCCAGGGCAGGAAGCGTGTTTACCCGTGTTCTCCTGCCCAGATGGTAACAGGCATTTACAATAGGTAGGAAGTCAAAGGAGCACCTCCTCCACGGGGTTTTGGCGTGTCCAGCAGCCTGGCTCATGGTGAGCGGCACCTCGGGTCTGAATAGCCTCCGGGTGGCGCTGCTGTTGTTTTCTCCCATGTTCATGCGCGTCTGGCTGGTGAACGTTCCCGAACTCATGGCTGGCACTGCAGAGTGGACAGAACTGCCCAGCATGACCCCGGTTTTCAGGCAGCAGCTGGCCTCTAGGCTTCCTTCCCTGGACACCTGTGATCCTGCACACGGCCTTCTCCCCGGCCCACCACCCAACACTGGGAGGCGGCCTGGGGAAGGGGCGGGGGAGGGGGATGAGGGGAGCACTGCACGCCTTCCACACGCTCTGCCACGTTCACGTGACTTCATTGGCGGATCCATAATGTGGTTTAGGTGTAATGCTGGGCTCTTTCTGTATCTCTTCCTACAGACTAGCAATGTTTTTTTGAAAATTAATTTATTTATTTTTGGCTGCATTGGGTCTTTGTTGCTGCATGTGGGCTTTCTCTAGTTGCGGCGAGCGGGGGCAGCTCTTCGTTGCGGTGCGCGGGCTTCTCATTGCGGTGGCTTCTCTTGTTGCGGAGCACAGGCTCTAGGCACTCGGGCTCAGTAGCTGTGGCTTGTGGGCTCTAGAGCGCAGGCTCAGTAGTTGTGGAGCACGGGCTTAGTGGCTCTGCAGCATGTGGGATCTTCCTGGACCAGGGATTGAACCTGTGTCAACTGCATTGGCAGGCGGATTCTTAACCACTGTGCTACCACGGAAGTCCCTAGCAATGTTTTTTAAATTTATTTTTAAGTGGGGGAAGGGAGTGGGAAAGTGTTCTTTGAAACATTTTTGGTATTAAAGTTTTTCCCCTCTTAATTTCTTGCGAGCTTCTTGCAGTTATAATTTAAAAAAAAATAGTTGTTGAGAATTAAGACTGTGGATTTTAAAAAAGAACCATCTATATTTTGGAGCTTTCCACACTAGAAGCCATGTCTGATAGGCTTATGTAGGAAACATCTAGCAGAGTGTTTAGTATGTCATTGGTAGTTCACAAAACATGGGTTTTGAAACTTAGATGACTGGTTAAGGTTTAAGCTGACTCTTACTTATGTGATGGTTTAACTTAATACATGATCCTTAGTTACTAAGTAAGGGGGCATATTGACATTATATTCAATGACTTGCATGATATGAGCTGAAAGTTTTACATGTTTCCTTTGACATTTGGTATTGTATGCAAACCATTCTTATGATGCTAATGGCCTTTTACTTCTTTTTTTAATCAAGGAGAATAAACTTAATACCCTTAAAGACAGATACTCCACTGAATTCTATACGAACCAGCGTAATTTCCAGCCTTTCCACAGAAGAAATTCAATCAGGTAAGTGATACTGTTACTGGTTTAGTATAATTAAAGATAGAATACCATCTCTTTTGGAAATGAGCACCACCTAACTTGAAGTCAGTTCTGAGAAAGCAAGGATGCATCTCATCAGGCCTGTCGTTTAAACCCACTGATTGTGTATGTATTCTCATCCAGGAGCCCACCCTCCCGCCAAGGCGCTCCCTGCTAGGCAGACGGTGGATTTGGGAGATGGTTAGAGCCGGGCTGGTTCTCAGCCTCGGCAGTGTTGGCATCTGGGCAGGTCATTCCTCGCTCTGGGGCTGCACTGTGGATGCAGGATGATTAGCAGTGCCCCTGGGTGCCGGTACCCATAGCCCTGCCCCGACTTGTGACGCTCTAAAATGTCATCAGACACTGCCCACTGTCCCTCGAGAGGCACAGTCGCCCCGGGTTGAGAACCACTGGGGTGGATCTTCCCCTTAGATCCATAGAGGACCTGGCCAGGCAGTTCAGTGCCTTGTCTGTGCATGAAATTCAGTTTGTAAACGTCAGCTCTTAACTTAAAGACGTCTTCACTCACTTGTCCACCCCGTGTGTGCTCACATTTTAGAGATGCCTGGAGACCTTCAGGTCAGTCCCCCGGAGCTTAAGCGGCCCAGATTCAGTGAGCACAAAGAAGGTCCCCAAGGTCTGGACCCCTGATGAGACCTGTCATGTGCCTGAAGGCTGCTAGGTCTGGGGACCCCCGTGTGCCCAGAGAGGGGCGAGACCAAACACACCTGAGACCAGTGGAATCAGACGGAGCCTGATGGACACTAGAAAATGGATTTCTGTAACAGAAGATACGCGTGGACCGATTTTCTCCAGAAATATGTTGGCTGTTGTATTTAGCACACATTTTTACCTCAGAGATGTGAACATTTTAATAGACTAAATTCTCTTTTTGATGAGTTTCTGAGACTGGAACAGTTCAATGTTACCTAGTGTGAAAATCAGTAAATCCCCCCCTTGGAATACTTGTGTGAAAGTACGGACACTTTATGGGTGGACTCCTTCCACAGCTAGAATTAGAGGAGAAGGTGGTTTGAGAAGGTTTATTCTGTTAAATTTTAGAGTGTTTGCTTATTAGATCACCTTAGCTTCTAAATAGTTGATTAACTTTTGGAAGTTTGTTGTTTGCTTTCTGATTTTAAAGGTGGTAATGCACATTCTAGAAAGTTAGTAAAGAGTAAAGTAGAAAAAACGGGTGGAGGTGGAAATCACCTATCTCACCACCAGAGGGAACCCTTATTACTGTTTTGGCATATTTCCTTAAAATTTCTGTTTTTATTAATGTTATTTTATTCTGGGGAGGGGGGGAGAGTTGAGATTTTACTTTAGATACAGTTTGGTATCCAAATAGGTTAACTTCTTAGACTGATTTTTCAAAGCAAAACAAGTACCTTTCCTTAGCAGTCTGTGCCTCTGCTCTCGGCCCCTGGGATGCTGGCATGGTCCTTTCCCTCTTGGGAGCAGGCCGGACTCATGGGCTGAGACGTATGACGTGCTGTCGCTGCAGGAGTCCTCCCACGTTTGGAGTCTCCTCTTAGCGCAGGAGCCTCTGGTGATGTGACCAACAGGTGGTGATGGGTGGAGTCCTAGAAGCTGGTGTGGCTGCTTCACATTGAGGAGTTTACAGATGATTTCGTGGCCCTCGATGCTGTCCCTCTGGCACGATGAACCGCAGGTGAGGCTACACCCAGGACCCCTTCCCTGTCTGAACCAAATCAGAGGGCACGTTTGGGACCCACAGGTCCAGGCTCTGGCAGGGAGCCACTGAGGATGGAAGAACACACTCCTGTCAGCTCAGGTCAGCAGCAAAGAAGAGAGCTGGAAAGAAGTGTCAGCTTTTTGCTAATCCACAACCCAGTTAACCAGAAAAAGAGTCTGCCTCTCTCTACATGGGAATGTGGCAAGTGGGATGATCTACCATGTGGAGAGCTGGCAGGTGAATCCATGCAGAGTCGTAATAATGCAGGTGTGGGTCACGTTCAACGTGAAGACATTTAAAAGTGTCAAATAGCAGCTGTTCTGACCAGTGGTTCTCAACCTTGAAGTCACCCAAAGACCTGCCAGACATCAACACGCAGGTCCTGCCCTCCTTGGTCTGGGGCACAGTCTGAACATCAGGATTCTTTAAGGCTCCTCTGGTGATTTGATGCACAGCCAGGAGTGGGAAATCATGAGAGGAAAGCTTTCCCCGGAGATGGTGTCTGCTGGTGATAAATGCATTTGCACCAAAAGCTTTTTCTGGCTACTTCTCTGGTTCATCACCGATTGACAGCAAAGCCTCTCTACCTGGGCTGCCAAACTGAAAGGATAATGTGTGAGATGCTGTCAGCTCTTCAGAGGAAAAAGGTCTTTTTACATTGCCTGTGGCTGGAGCACGGTGTGTTTTGTAGGGGTTGATCCCCATGCAAACAGGAGTCGTCATGGGTCCCTTGTCTCTGTGAACCGGCTGGCTCCCTGGCCACCCCCCAGTGGAGGGGTGATGGGAGTGGTTGGGAGGGGGCCGGTGCCCCTTCAGCGGAAGTGCACGTTGATATGCCTGTTTGTCAGCTGTCTCCTCGACTGTAAACTACAGACTTGGCAATAAAAGCCCAGGCGGTGTCACCTCCCGGTCCTTGTCTAAGGCCACCTGCTTCCATCTGGGTAGTGACTGGGGGAGGGAGGCCTTCTGCGACAGGAGCCTTGCCCGCCCCGCTGGGTGGGCAGTATGCCCGCTCAGGGCCATCCTGCATCTGTAGTTGGGTGGGGCTTGTGTCTGAATCCCACTGCCAGGTGAGGAGACGCGGGAGGGCTTGGGGAGAACTTGATGGAGGCCGGCGGTGAGGGAGGGCCGCCCTGCTCTGGCCTGCGCACTCGCGAGAGAAGAGCTGGCAGGGCCGCCGGCGGCAGACGTGAAGGCTCGTCACGGGCCAGGCTGCAGCCGTGGGCAGAGGGGCGTCCCCAAGCAGGCTGTCCACCAGGGCAACGGCCCCCTGGTGGTGAGACGCAGAAGGGCCAGCAGGAAGGTGAGTCACAGCCAGTCCTCGGGCCCGTTTTTGTCCCCTGCAGCCCCATCTGTCGTCCTTGCCGAGAGCACTCACTTCTGCATTTTAACAGTGCTGTTGACCGTTCTTACCAAAATATTGCCGGTGTCCCTGTAAGCAGGTTGTGAGTCCTTGAGGAGACGGGGCGGGATCTCCCAGTACTCCTGCATCTTCCCTTTCGGGCTATTTTGGTGTCACCCGGGGTGTGTGTGTGTGTGTGTGTGTGTGTGTGTGTCTCTGAGGGACAAATTGCTTCATCTGAGGAAGTATCTTCACAGCTCTGAAAACTGCCTCCTTTGGCAGGGGAGAGGGGTCAAAGAAAAGGCAGGAGGGCAGGAATGAGAAACAGAATTAAAGGGCTGGAGGGTAAACCAGGAGGTAAGAGGCACCTGTGCTCACACGAACTCCTGTGGCCACTGGAGGGCACTGTCCCCACTGCATCTGCCTGGAGGTAGGGCTGCCTTGGCTCGGAGCCTCTGCTGCCACTCAGCCCTACCTCCCCTGAGGGGTTCACGTCTATGTCAGGCTTGGCCAAAGTGGCCTTGGACACTGGCTTCAGCCCCTGGCGGCCAGACACGAAGGGGAGCGTCATTCAGCAGATGGTAGTGGGAGAGGATTGCGGAAGTAATCCACGCGTCCACGTGTTCACTTGTTTGTTCATCTGTTCATTCAGGAAATGCTTATCTGACACCTTCTAGGTACCGGCGGATACATCAGGGCACAAAACAGACGAAGCTCTCTGCCCTCCTGCAGCTCACATTCTGACTGGGGGAGACGAACAATAAAGCTAGTAAATATATATTAGAAGATGACTATGGAAAAAAGGTGAGGGGTGTTAGGAGAGCTGGGTGGAGAGTGGCTGACAACTTAAAGTGGGCGGACCTCTCGGGAAGGCGGAAACAGAACAAGGGAGAGGACAAGGAAGGAAGGAAGCAGGTCAGGTGTTCTAGGGTTTCCCAGAGGCAAGGAGTCCTCTACTCGTCTCTGATGCATTCTGTGGGTTGGGTTGGGTGTCTGGGTGTTCCCTGGATGATGGGGGCGAGGACAGCCTGCAGCCCCTGCTGGTGTGGAGCCCCACCAGCTACTCGGCCTCCCTGTCCCCTCACGCGCACCGCTGGGAGTCGGCCCGACACCTGCCTGTGCGCGTCTCCGGGGGTGCTGGTCGGGTGGTCCAGACCAGGCTGAGGTTGACCGTTGCTGTGATTATCATTGGGGTCGGGAAGGCGCCCTGTCATATTCCAGCAGGAGTGAAATCTTTCTGAGTTGTGAATCTCTGGTGCAGCTCACATCCCAGATCAAAGGCCAAGCCATACATCACCCAGCTGTTTCCTTCCACTTCCTGCTTTTTTTTTTTTTCTTTTTTTGCGGTACGCTGGCCTCTCACTGCCGCCGCCTCTCCCGTTGCGGAGCACAGGCTCTGGACGTGCAGGCTTAGCGGTCATGGCTCACGGGCCCAGCCACTCCGCGGCATGTGGGATCTTCCCGGACCGGGGCACGAACCCGTGTCCCCCGCATCGGCAGGCGGACTCTCAACAACTGTGCCACCAGGGAAGCCCCCACTTGCTGCTTTTAAGCAAGATCTATGGTGGCTTTAACAGCTAAATCGCGAGAGGCGGTGATGGTTTTCTTCACTTTGCGCCCGAGTCCTGCCCTTGTCAGCACAATGTCAGCATGCAGAGAAAAGAACTCACTGGCCTGGATCCCCTACACAAGTCCTATACTTTCCCTCTGGTTTAGGCTCTGAGAGACACTAGCAACAAGTATGGCCTCTGTTAAGAAGCTGTTTGCATGACTTCTCTGGCGGTCCAGTGGTTAAGAGTCTGCACTTCCATAGCAGCGGCCACGGGTTCGATCCCAGGTTGGGGAACTAAGATCCCGGCACGTGCTGCATGGCGCGGCCAAAAAAAAAAAAAGCTGTTTTAAGAACAAATGCTTAGTGATGATTGTCCGGGGTCCACACTCCAGCCTCTTTTCTAACACCCCAAATGACTTGTGTCGCCTTCTGTCATAGAAGGTTACCTGGAAAGGCATTTCAAGTGTAATAACAAGTCTTTGTAATAACTCCAGGTCTCTCTGCCTTTGGTCGGCGCCCTTGGCAGGTCTGAGAAGCGCCTGCTTGGGAGAAGTGCAGTGCTGGGTGTCGGCCCTCCAGGCCCTCCTTCCCTCTTCTGTCCCCATGTCCTGCTGCCCACCAAGTACACGGAGCTGGCAGCACCCGTGCTTCCCAGCCTGGCCCTGCTCCACATCGCCAGCGGGGCTTTACAGACAAAACAAAATAAAACCAACTCAAGTCTAGGCTTGTGACCCCGGAATCAGCTTCTAAAGGTGAGGGATACACCCAGCCGGGCACGTGCATTGTAAAAACCCGAGCGATTCAACGGGCAGTCGGCACTGAGAACTCGTAGGAGTTGTGAAATCTGAAGATACACCAGTGGCGGGCAGTTAGAATTCTTTGAGCTCATTGGTTTCGTAAAGAACCTCCATATTCAGCTCCTCAAGAAGAGGGTGGATCTTGAAGAAAACTTTGCCCCCCAGGTCCAGTGTCACTGCTGCTAGCCCAGCAGTTACAGGAATGAGGAGACGCTGTGTTACTGGAGCCTCCCCCAAAGCCAGCGCCGCACAGTGGCCTCC